GGGAGCCCCGACGCTGGCGGCCTCACCCCAGGTGCGCGGCCTCTGCTCCCGAGCAGACCTAAGAAACCGGATGCTTGCCTTTCAGGCCAAGAAGGCAGACGCTGGAGATCGGGGCTGGACCTGCGCCTGCGCAGAGGGCGCACCGTGGAACCCTTCCCAGAGTGCTGCGCGGTAGGCCCCCCGACGTCGGGAACTACCATTCCCCTAATCCCTTGCGTCCTGGGCGTTCGTGATTTCCATCTTCGTCCGTGGGTCGAGTCCTGGCTGCCCAGGTGTTGCCCAGATCCTCAGAGGTGTGGGCATCACGGCCCCCCGCAGTTTGTGGTTGGAGCAAAAAGCTGCAACAGACACCAACAGCCACAGAAACATGAATAGGGACTGGACGTTAGAAATGTTAAGGAAAATCATTATTTTCTTAGTGTGATGTTGGGAGATGTAGGAAATTGCTCTTATACGCAAAAGATACACACTGAAGCCTTTACACTTACATATTTGTAGTTTAAAGTGATATTTGTAAAATAAGAAAAACTATTAGAGAAAGTAAGTATGGTTAAAAAAAGTGAAGAATTGTTAAATATGTGTGATATGTGCAAATGATACTCATTTTACCATTTTCTACTATTCTGATATTTTTTATTTACAATAAAAGATGTGTAGGGCAATGTGGAAGAGGAGCAGTGAGGAGATTCTACTATGCCTCCCATAGAATGCCTTTTAACCTCAAAGCTGCCAAGATAAATATATGTTCGTACAAATATCTCTTATTACTATGGCTGCGAAATAGAACAAATACAAGAAAATATAAAAGAGTAATATCTGTGACCAGCAGGGATTATCTGAACTGGAAAGGAAGGAAGCTAGATGTTCAAAATTACATGAGTAATGCATGAAAACACATACAAGCCCCAAATAAGAAAGTGCTTAGTATATCAACCTTGCATTTCTATTCTTTCTTTTCTTTCTTTTTTTTTTTTCAGATGGAGTTGTCTCACCCTCTTGTTGAGAATGGAGAGCAGTGGCATGCCCACTGCTACTGCAACCTCAACCTGCTGGGCTCAGGTGATCCTCCCCCCTCAGCCTTCCAAGTAGCAGGAATTACAGGCATACACCACCATGCCTGGCTAATTTTTTTTTTTCAATGTAGAGATTAGGTATTGCCAAGTTACCCAGGCTGGTCTCCAACCCATAGGCACAGGCAATCCTTTCACCTCAGCCTCCCAAAGTGCTGAGATTATAGGTGTGAGCCACTGCACCCAGCCTAACCTTGCATTTCTGTGGAGAAAACTTTCTTGAAATTTGTGTGCACACATCTGACTTTTTTACAAATTGGGACACCTGAGTACAATAACATTGATTTTTTTTAATTGATAGGCATTTTAGAATTGTTTTAGGTATACAGAAAAGCTGAACAGAGTTACTATAAACCCTGTCTCATTAAGCCACATACAATTTTTCCTTTTATTATCAACTTGCATTAGTATAGTACATTTTGTACAATTAATTAATTAAGTCTGCAGTTTGCATTATCTTTCACTCTTTCTGTTGTACGGCTCTATGGGTTTTTCCAAATGCATAATGTCACTTGATGTGACTTCCACCAATACAATAATGTAATATCCATCATTCTAGTATCATACAAAATAATTCCGCTGCCATAAAAATGCCCTAGGCTCTATCTATTCACCTCCCTTCCTGAAATCCTGCCAACAACTCATCTTTTTACTCTCTCCATATTTTTGCCTTTTCCAAAATGTTGTATAGTTGGAATCACACAATATGTAACTTTTCAAACTGGCTTCCTTAATTTAGCACTATGTATTTAATCTTTCTCCATGTCTTTTCATGGCTTGATTGCTTATTTCCTTCTATCTAAATATTATTCTATGTATATAACAAGTTTATCCACTATTGAAGTACATCCTGGTTATTTCCAAGTGTCTGCAATTATGAATTACACTGCTATAACATTTGTGTGCAGATAAGTTTTCATACCAGTTGGGTAAATATCAAGGAGCACAATTGCTGGATAGTATAGTGATAACCACATTCAGCTTTATAACAATGTGCCAAACTATCTTCCAAAGTGACTGTATCATTTTGCATTCTCACCAGCAATGAACAAGAGTCTGTCCTACCAGCATTTGATACTGTCAGTGATTTGGGTTTTGGTTCTTTTAGTAGGTTTGTAGTGGCAACTCATTGTAAATCTCATAATTTTCAATTCTTGTTTGATACAGGATGGCAGACTTCTTATATACTTTATTTGCCATAAATATGTCTTCTTTGGCAAATTATCTCTCTAAATCACTCATTTTTATTGTGTTTCTATTTTCTTATTGTTGAATTTTAATTGTTCTTTGTATGTTTTGGCTAAGCTAGTTTTTTTTGGTTTTTTTTGAGTTGGAGTCTCACTCTGTCACCCAGACTGGAGTGCAGTGGCCGCTCCCTACCACCGCAGCCTCGACCTGCTGGGCTCCGGCGATCCTTCCACCTCAGCCTTCCAAGTAGCTGGAATTACAGGCATGCGCTACCACGCCCGGCTGATTTTTTGATTTATTGTAGAGATGAGGTCTCGCTGCCCAGGCGGGTCTCGAACCCGCGGGCTCAGGCAATCCACTCACCTCAGCCTCCCAAAGGCGCGGGATTACAGGCTGAGCCACCGAGCCCAGCTGGCTAAACTGTTTTTTATCAGATATATCTTTTGCAAGTATTTTCTCTGAATCTTTTGTTTTTCTTTTCATTCTTTTGATAGTCTTTCATGAAGCAGAAATTTTAAATTTTACCGGTCAAATTGTTCAATTTGTTCCTTCATAGATAATGTTTTTGGTGTTACCTAAATACTCATTGCCAAACCCAAGGACAACTAGAGTTTCTCCTGTGTATTGTCTAGAAGTTTATAACTTTGTGTTTTATATTTAGACCTGTGATCCATTTTAAGTTAATTTTTGTGAGAGATATACGATCTGCAGCTACACGTCTTCATTTTTTTTTTTTTTTATTGTGGATGTCCAGTGGTTCCAGCATCATTAGTTGAAAGGCTATCATTGCTCTATTTTATTGTCTTTGTTCCTTTGTCAAAGATCGGATGCTTGTGTGGGCCTATTTCTGGGCTTTCCATTTTGTTCCACTGATCAACTTGTCAATTATTTCACTGGTACCACAATATCTTGATCACTGTAGCTTTATAGTAATACTTGAAGCCAGGTAGTGTCAGTCCTCTGAGTTTGTTCTTCTCAGTATTAAAATGGCTATTCTTGATCTTTGTATTTCCATGTAAACCTTACAATCAGTTTGTTGGTGTAGACAGTATAACATGCTGAGATTTTAATTGCGATCATGTTGAATTCGTTGATCAATTTGGAACAGACTAACATCTAAGCATGTTGAATGTTCTTATCCTTTAACATGGGATATCTCTTCATTTGTTTAGTTGTTTCTTTCTTCAGAGTTCTATAGTTTATCTTCTATAGATTTTGTATTATTTTGTTAGATTTATACCTAAGTATTTCATTATTTTGGTGTTGATGTAAATGGTAGGTTTTTAATTTCACATTCCAATTGTTCATTGTCGGCTTATAGGAATGCAAGTGGCTTTTTAATGACAATCTTAGATGCTTCAACCTTGAAAATATCACTTATTAGTTCCAGGAGGTTGTGTTGTTCTTGTCAATTCTTGGGGTTTTTCCACATAGACAATCATGTCATATGCCAAAAAAGATAATTTTATTTCTTCATTCCCAATTTACTTGCTGTTTATTTTCTTTTTATATTTCATTCCATTAGCTTGGACTTTTAGTATGATGTTGAATAGGCATGTGGGGAGAGGTATAGCCTTCCCTTGTGCTTTCTATCAGGGGAAAGGCATTTAATTTTTCAGCATTAAGTATGATGTTAACTGTTGGTTTTCTGTAGATGTTATTTATCAAGTTGAGGAGGTTCCCTCTATTCCTTATTTGGGGAGACTTGTAAGAAGATGTTAGATTTTGTCAAATGAATTTTCTGCATCTATTGATATGAGCATATGATTTCCTTTTTTAGGGTTGATGAAATGGATTACATTAATTTGTTTTCAATGTTGAAACAGTCTGATATACCTGGGCTAAATCCTACTTGGTAATATATATAATTCATTTTATATATTGTTGAATTTTATTTGCTAATATTCTGTTGAGGAATTTTAAAATTCATATTAATGACAAATATTGGCCTATAGTTTTCCTATCTTTAATATCTATGTCTGGTTTTAGTCTTCACTCACTGCTGGCTTATAATATGAGCTAGAAAGTATTCAATATTTCCACCTTATGTTACTGAAAATATTGTAGAGAATTTCTATCTTAAATGTTTGGTAGACTTCACCAGTGAATGGGCTTTGAGCTTTTGTTAATTACTATTGTTGTTAATTACTATCTATTAGATACAGGCTTACTCAGATAATCTATTTCTTCCTTCTGAGAGTTTTGGTAGTTTGTGTCTTCTAAGAAATTGGTCCATTTCATCTATGTTATCAAATTTGTAGGCATAGAATTGTTCACTGGATGCAGAATTTTAGCTTAGTGGATTTTTTTCATTCAACAGTAAACATTTCATTCCACTGTCTTTTTCTTGCATAGTTTCTGAAGATAAGTTTTACGTAATTCTTACTCTTTCTCTATATGTAAGGTACCCATAACTGACCTTCTTTCAAGATTTTCTCTTTGTTTTTATTTCTCTGCAGTTTGGATACTATATGCCTAGATATATAGTCTCTGGTATTTATCCTAAGTGTTCTTTTAGTTTCCTGATTTGTAGTTTGGTGCCTGTTATTAATTTTGAAAAAATTTCAGCTATTATTACTTCAAATATTTCTCTTGTTCCTGCTTCCTTCTCTTTTTGGTATTCCCATTATGTGTATGTTACACCTTTATAAGTTATCTCACAATCTTTAGATATTGTGTTCCATCTTTAAAAAAAAAATCTTTTATCTCTTTGCATTTAACTTTTGGGAGTCTTTCTTAGCTATGCCTAATCTATTGATGAGCCCATCAAAGCATTATTCATTTTTATTAGGGTGTTTTATTTCTATTTCCTTTTGATTATTTTTTAGCATTGTCATTGCTCTGCTTATTA